TTTAGCCGTTAAAAGTGTGACCACTCACAGAAAATTGTTAATCAATGACTCAAGTAGCCTCCCTTTCTTCATCAAATTAGTGAACATTAATACTGAAACAACAGCCAAATAATTCTACTCTCACACAACCCAACACAAACAGTGCTACCACAACCTGAGTGCAAGATACAACTTCAACAACCTGTCACCATCAACCTGAGTGCAAGATTCAACTTCAACAACCTGTTATCAACAACCTGGGTGCAATTTACAACTTCAACAACCTGTTATCAACAACCTGGGTGCAATTTACAACTTCAAAAACCTGTTATCAACGACCTGGGTGCAATTTACAATTTCAACAACCTGTCACCAACAACCTGGGTACAAGTTACAACTTAAACAACTTGTCATCAACAACCTATCACCAATAACTTAATAGCTGGCTACAAAAACTTGTCACCAACAAATTGTGCACAAATAACAACACTTAACTCTACATTTCGTGTGTAAGATCAATATTTGATTCGACTCATTTAATACTCTATATAACAAATATTAGAATGGTGGGAAACATACAAAGGTAGGCTCTACTCTCTGAGATTTGAGCCTACATACTCTGAAACTGTACACTCTTGTCTACATACAGACGCATATTCTACTCACCGAGATTCAAGGCTGCAAACTTTGAAACTGTTTACTCTATATACATACAAAGGTAAGTTCAATTCTGTTATTCTTGAGCGTGACACATACTGAGGCATGCTGAACTCTTATTCTTGAGCCGAGTCACAAACAGGAAGTAATTCAAACTATCAGAGACTTGAGCCAGAAAAAGACTCAAGTGTGCTCCTATCTTCAAGCACCTCTTCCAGACGAGTTTGGGCTTATAAATGACGTAAGCCGTACTGCTGAGACTTAAACTTGGCCCATACAGCAGATATACTTATTTCTCAGAGATAAGCTCCAAGTGGTATTCATTTCTATTAAATCAGCTCTAAGAGGCAAGTTGAGATAAGCTCAAATCTCCGACGTTAATCTGTCATGGACATCTCTTCTTCTTAGTGCTCAGCGGCTGTAAAACTCTGGCAAAAAGTTCTGGTTGTTCATCCACTTCTAGACTTTGGTCTTGATCCAGAACTAGAATTTTGTGTGCACATCCACTGTAAAGATCTGATCTATTTGTATGCAGACTGTTGGTACCTTGCCTCTTAATCAGATCGACTGTGAAGAAAACACCAAACCTAATCTGTCGGCTCCTAAGACATGTCTGTTGAGGTGTAGTGGGTCTATTCTTGGTTCCCCCACAATGAGGCCTAGGAACCCACACCAGGGCGCCACCATGGTTAGAAACAATCTAGGGCACTTCACAACTGACGGGCTGGGACAAGGAGGTATAGCGCCCCGTAACGAGAGATGATTTAGCACCATATACCAACATAAATCATATCAAAGTGTGACATCAAGACATGCCACATAACAACCACAAGAAATATATAGTGCACTAAGTGACATGTAAAATAAAACACTGATCAATGTGTGATGAGAAAGCAATCACATAAGCTGAACATGGAGTAGATGATTATTTAAACATTAAAAAAATATGACATTAAAGAAATCCCAACTATGTAGAAATCATGCAACCATTAAAAGTCTTGGGACAAAATACAAAAGCAAGCATGATATGGAAGAAAGTTTATACAAGCGTTAGTCTTCCTACAAAAAGTAGGTCAATTTCATTGTTAGTTTGTTTAACTAGGCTACCGTGGTCGTGGTTATGGGTGTCGCGGTCTCTTGTTGTCTTGCATTTACGTTTTTATTCTGAGAAAGAGACTGCCTGTGACACAGGTTTCATCACTCTCTGGGGGGAGGGGGGGAGAGGGGGGGGGGGTTGTGTGTTAGACTAAAAGTTTTTGGAGTGTTAAAAGCTCTGGCATGGTGAAATATTCAAGACTCGACATCAACTGCATAGAGGAACAGCCCGGTCACCTTGTGTTATAGTCGGACGGCTCGATGCTGACCAATCAGTAGTCAGGTGGGCTAAAGGTTGACGAATCAGAAGCAAGCTAGTGTGAACCAGTGTGTAAAATGGGGGGGATTATCTTTTGTTTTACCAGAAGAAACTTTATACAGGTGGGATTGGGGGGGGGGGGGGGGAGGAATAGTGGTTGCAGTGGTAGTCACATCAGAGTGAAATGGGAACCTTCCATTTTCTATTTCTCTTTCTGGCTGCTAGATAATGTCTTGAGCACCATAATTACATGCATTGGTTTTCGACAGTGGTACACACAGCCGATCATTCAGAAGGCAATGGCAAACTACTGAATGAAAAAACAGGCCTAGAAAAATCACAGTATAAAAGAAAAAATGCTGGAGCTGGTTCTGTAATCTCCTGTAAAGGATAAATGAACTTGTGCTAAAGTGGTGTGGCAGGGAAATGTAACACAACAATAAAGGCAGCTTAAGGGCAAGAGGGTTGACATCAGCACATCAGGTTTTATCTATAAGGCTCAGTCTCTCGCCACTAAGGATACTCCCTGAGAGAATTACACAAAGCACAAAACTCTGAAGCTCCAAAGACAACCCCACTTCCAGGAATCTCCAAAACACCTGTACACCTTCTCCTGGACTTACGCCTATGTAATTTAGGTCCATCTGTACTCAATACACACACACACACACACACACACACACACAAAGAAAACAAAACTAGTCAATAAAAAAAAAAGACAACTACACCGGTAGGGTTAATAAAGTTCCCTGGAACTGATGCTTACAGTGTGCACTAGTAGCATGGCATCAGAAAATGCTGAGCATGAGCTCCAACACTGTCAACTGTATGCTGTCAACAGAGACACAATCTGGCCTGTTCCAACCACAATGAAGACAAAACTTACGGTACACAGGGAGATGCAGATTTCACGATAGCTTCCATAAAGGCAACCAGCCTGCTGATATAAGTTTTCTGACAGAGGGATTGAAAATAAGAAGATCTCACAGGACAGCAGGGTCTAGACATGAAAGTCTCTTTGACCCTATGGTGTAGGGCAGTGATTCCCAAACTGTGCACCGTGGCACCCCGGGGAGCTGCGACCTCTTTACAGGGGCGCCATGAAATATTGTAAGAGCTCCGTAATTAATTTAACCAAGACACAAATAGTCTTACTTTTAGTTAGGCTAGGGCGCCGTGGAACAATTTCAACTGAAAAAAGGCGCTGCGACCAAGATACAAATAGTCATACTTTTACTTCGGCTAGGGCGCCATGGAACAATTTCAACTGAAAAAAGGCGCTGCGACCAAGACACAAATAGTCATACTTTTACTTCGGCTAGGGTGCCGTGGAACAATTTCAACTGAAAAAAAGCGTTGCAACCAAGACAAGTTTGGGAAACACTGGTGTAGGGCAGACTCTGGGAAGGCAGGTCTTCTACTACCTAGTGTTGGAAACTATAAATCTGACTTACGACCAGTTTGTTTTATGACCTGTTAGTTGGAATGGGACTGAGTCGTAAGTCCAGGAGACCCTGTACTCATAAATTTGAAGGAAAGGTTGGAATTAAACCTTAAACCTTCACCAGACAAGGCAAATGACTTAAATAAATATGGAGAGCCCAGTAACACAACAATATATATTTACTCAATTTTAGAAAAAAGACTTGGTTATAAATGTTCAGGCAAGGAAAAAAATTTGCTATATGCTACAGAATCAATGAAAAGAAAAACAATTTTACATTTGTTTCTGTCAAGCAGACATTTATGCTGTATTTGTTCAATTAAGAAGAAATTCGTTATAACTGTTCAATCAAGGAGACAGTTTTTGTTACCTTTGCTTGATCAAGAAAAAAGTTAAAATTTTCATTTATTCTGTCAAACAGAAAGGTATATTGGTTCCATCAAAGAGAAACTCCTTTTTATAACTGTTCAATCGAGGAGAAAATTTTTTGTTACATTTGCTCAATCAAGAAAAAAGTCCATTTTACATCTGCTCTATTGAGCAGGAACTTATGATATATTTGTTCAAGCAAGGAGAAACTCCTTGTTATAACTTTTCAATCACCAAGAAATTCTCTATTTACATCTGCTCAATCAAGATAAACATCCATCTAGCATGGTTCAACTAAGGAGAAAAACCCTGTTCTATCTGCTCATCTTGGAGAACATCAGTGTCCTATCAGCAACATACATGTGTATGTTGCTATTACAGGCACTGTCCCCATATGAAGTCTACTTCTGTTCTGCTAAAAAGGTGGGAAATAGTGCAGGGCAATAACCTTTCTGTACAAATGATGCTTTTGAAATGCAAAGTTCTGTATTTTTCGCCAAATTTTATAACCGTATTTTTCTGTGTATAATACTATGTTTTCCCAAATTTTATAAGTTCAAAGTTGTGAGTCCTCTTATATGTGAAATATGTTTAAAATTTGTATTTCTTAATTTAGGGGTTTTTTAAAAAAGGAGTAATTTTAGCTCCAAAAAAAAAAGAGATTTGCCTTAGCTAAAAAAAAAAAAAACTAGCTATTTACAAAAAAAGGGGGAGAATCTTCTCCTGTCAACAAGAGCTTGTCAGGTGAGGAAGAAGAGACCGTGAGGGAGACGCTGAACAGCTTTAAGCATATAGTCATACAAATCTGTTTATCAAACACCATCAAATTTATGAAAACATTAGCAGTACAAGCCTGGCGCCTGAGAGCAATGGGTGGTCAGCAGTCGTGCAGCTGTCCTGCATCCACGCTTACACTGAAGCAACTAGGAGAAACTTGTAATGACCAGATGTTTCACTGTTGTCCCACATGCTTAATCCTTGAATTAAACGACTAGGAGACAATCTAGATGACCAGAAGTCTCACAGCTGTCACATGTTTCATCCTAGAATCAAACAGCTAGGAGAAAATCTAGATGACCAGATGTCTCACAGCTGTCCCACATGTTCCATCCTTGAATTGAACTCATAGGAGAAAATCTAGATGACCAGACATCTCGCAGCTGTCCCACATCCATCCCTACACTGATGCAACCAGGGTCAAGAGCTGATGTCCAGCAAATTGTGGGTGCTGGACGATTTACATGGGCTTTCTGGGGGGAACTGTGGGTCCGAGTTGTTTATATGCATGGCTGGGACAGAGCCATGCACCTGCTGTGACATACGACGACCCCGGCGTAGAAATGTTTCCAGTTTATCTACACAGGCATCCTGGTATTCATGGACCCACCTGCAGAAATAAAATGGTTTATGTTGATCAGCATACAGCTAGTTTACTGTTTCTTTAGTCCTTCTTCCTCTACTCTAAAATATAGAAGGGGGCTGTGGGGTCTCGATGCATGGTGTCCGCCTGGAGTGCTAGAGGTTCCGGGTTCAATCCCCAGTAAGGGCTAGGATTTTTTTTTGCATTTGGACTTGGACTTCTAGTAATTCCCCCTGGTCTCTGGGTAGTGAGATTGGACGCCTGTGTGCATTGTTGTGCATGTATAAGATCACTTGGCAGTTAGAAATTGAAAAGAATAGCCATATGGCGCTGCCCGGGCAAAATTTGGGGTAAAAAATCTGCCCAAAATAATTCAGGATCCTCGCCGGTGCTACACAGCCTGTGCACTGTGCTGAGCTTCTTCGGACTCAGACTTGAGTTAGAAGAAACAATGGAGCACTTATGGGTTACACCCGTGTGCCAGATGTTGATCCGTTTTTCAAAACTTAGAATATAGTGCTATCTTAGCCTTATTTAGTCCTTCTTACTCTACCCTAGAATATAGAGCTACCTCACAGTCTTGTTTAGTCATTTCTCATCTACCTTAAGATACAGAAGTACATTCACTCTTCTCTAGGCTTGTCTACAATACAACAGGGATGGGTAGACTTGACACTTGATGATTATCATTTTTAATGGGTTTTTTATACCTCTAGCTGTTAATAATGTTCAACTTCTGCTATGATCTGTTATTACATGTCTAAGATAGGAGAAATGTGGGTACATATCACAAAAATCACCCCATCTCATAGAGCACGAGATTTCATGCCGGCTCCCATTCATGCCGTGGCAGTTCTCACTGGCTATCCTATGCTGTGGGGGCGTTGGAATATGCGTTCCTTCGCCGCCTATACACACCGAGCCGAAAAACGGCTGCCCATGGCCCGAAACAAATGTGTGCAAAGCTCTCTTTTGTAGACACCCCTATCATAGTTTTTGCTTTATGGATATTGAAGTCTAAATCAAACTCTGCACTCTGCTCGTTTACTTCGAACAACCAGATCTATGATAGACAGTGTGGACTACTCTACAATTATAATTATAGTGAAAACCCGATAGTAAGATCTACTCTACAATCATAATCAAGTAAGAATTTAAGTGAGAACCAGACAGTAAAAACTACTCTACAATCATAATTAAAGTGAGAACCAGACAGTAAAAACTACTCTACAATCATAATTAAAGTGAGAACCAGACAGTAAGATCTACTCTACAATCATAATTAAAGTGAGAACCAGACAGTAAGATCTACTCTACAATCATAATTAAAGTGAGAACCAGACAGTAAGATCTACTCTACAATCATAATTAAAGTGAGAACCAGACAGTAAAAACTACTCTACAATCATAATTAAAGTGAGAACCAGACAGTAAAAACTACTCTACAATCATAATTAAAGTGAGAACCAGACAGTAAGATCTACTCTACAATCACAACTATAGTGAGAACCAGACAGTAAGATCTACTCCACAATCACAACTATAGTGAGAACCAGACAGTAAGACCTTCTCTACAATCACAATTATAGTGAGAACCAGACAGTAAGATCTACTCTACAATCACAACTATAGTGAGAACCAGACAGTAAGATCTACTCCACAATCACAACTATAGTGAAAACCAGTCAGTAAGACCTTCTCTACAATCATAATTAAAGCGAGAACCAGACAGTAAGATCTACTCCACAATCATAATTAAAGTGAGAACCAGACAGTAAGATCTACTCTACAATCATAATTAAAGTGAGAACCAGACAGTAAAAACTACTCTACAATCATAATTAAAGCGAGAACCAGACAGTAAGATCTACTCTACAATCATAATTAAAGTGAGAACCAGACAGTAAAAAACTACTCTACAATCATAATTTAAGTGAGAACCAGACAGTAAAAACTACTCTACAATCATAATTAAAGTGAGAACCAGACAGTAAAAACTACTCTACAATCATAATTAAAGTGAGAACCAGACAGTAAGATCTACTCTACAATCATAATTAAAGTGAGAACCAGACAGTAAGATCTACTCTACAATCATAATTAAAGTGAGAACCAGACAGTAAGATCTACTCTACAATCACAATTATAGTGAGAACCAGACAGTAAGATCTACTCTACAATCACAACTATAGTGAGAACCAGACAGTAAGATCTACTCCACAATCACAACTATAGTGAGAACCAGACAGTAAGACCTTCTCTACAATCACAATTATAGTGAGAACCAGACAGTAAGATCTACTCTACAACCACAACTATAGTGAGAACCAGACAGTAAGATCTACTCCACAATCACAACTATAGTGAAAACCAGTCAGTAAGACCTTCTCTACAATCATAATTAAAGCGAGAACCAGACAGTAAGATCTACTCCACAATCATAATTAAAGTGAGAACCAGACAGTAAGATCTACTCTACAATCATAATTAAAGTGAGAACCAGACAGTAAAAACTACTCTACAATCATAATTAAAGCGAGAACCAGACAGTAAGATCTACTCTACAATCATAATTAAAGTGAGAACCAGACAGTAAAAACTACTCTACAATCATAATTAAAGTGAGAACCAGACAGTAAAAACTACTCTACAATCATAATTAAAGTGAGAACCAGACAGTAAAAACTACTCTACAATCATAATTAAAGTGAGAACCAGACAGTAAGATCTACTCTACAATCATAATTAAAGTGAGAACCAGACAGTAAGATCTACTCTACAATCATAATTAAAGTGAGAACCAGACAGTAAGATCTACTCTACAATCACAATAATAGTGAGAACCAGACAGTAAGATCTACTCTACAATCACAACTATAGTGAGAACCAGACAGTAAGATCTACTCCACAATCACAACTATAGTGAGAACCAGACAGTAAGACCTTCTCTACAATCACAATTATAGTGAGAACCAGACAGTAAGATCTACTCTACAATCACAACTATAGTGAGAACCAGACAGTAAGATCTACTCCACAATCACAACTATAGTAAAAACCAGTCAGTAAGACCTTCTCTACAATCATAATTAAAGCGAGAACCAGACAGTAAGATCTACTCCACAATCACAACTATAGTGAAAACCAGTCAGTAAGACCTTCTCTACAATCATAATTAAAGCGAGAACCAGACAGTAAGATCTACTCCACAATCACAACTATAGTGAAAACCAGTCAGTAAAACCTTCTCTACAATCATAATTAGAGCGAGAACCAGACAGTAAGATCTACTCTAGTCACAATTATAGTGAGAACCAGATAGTAAAATCTACTCTACATTCCCAATTTCACACACAAAATTAACCATCAACTCTGGAATACCTGACACTGTTGAAGCGCACCACTCCCCTCATGTCTGCCGGCAACTTCTCCAGGGGAGGCCACTCAAAGTTGTCAATGATAGGAACAATGTTACAGTTGCTGTCGATGGCGGCTACAATCTCCTTGTGCACCCAGTCCTCTTGATTATCATCACCTGTGTTAGACAATAACAGCAACAGTCTGTCAGATATGTGACAGGCCTCATATTTCAATTTATTTGTACTCCCCTGTATGGGTTCTCAGGGGGAAGAAACAAGGACAGGTCCACTGCTCCTTAACAAGCAGGTTGAAAAGCAGGGCTATGCCAAGTACTCTAATCATCCCCTTGTGGGATGCAATTTTTAGCTATTCTGAAGCCACACCCCGGCTTTGGCCAGGGGGGCTATAAAAATAGCTGGGCCTGAAATATGGCCTAACGGATGAATGGAGTTTCCAGGACCTCTCCACGGGTGATCCTCACCCACAAGGTGGCACTTTGTGTCACCGGATGTTTATGGCTTGTGTGATGTCCTGGTGGGGTACAACTTACATACATAGGGCTGGCTATTCAACTAAGTTTATGCAGGTGACAAAGTGCTGAAAATAGGTAGCCTCACTCCCAGTGGGGGTTCCAGGGTCCCATTGTCAAGAAAGCAAGAATGGACCTACCGACTCCCCAACAAGCATGCTGTAGAAGTTGACTAAGTGGGGACTTCCTTCGAAGTAGGAATGCATCTGCCCGAGCGGCAAGGAACAATCAACTGCACACAAATAAGCCAGTAAAATGAATATACATGCAAAATTAAAACCCTGACACAAAGACATAGTCCAATTGGACGAACAACTAGGGTTTTCTGCCGGAGCTTACAGCCGGTGAACAGAGAAGAAGAAGAAGAAGAAGAAAAAGGAGATTTCTTCATGGGCCAGAGGTCAGAGTTGCAGCAAAGAAACATCATTAATTCAATACCAGTGGCAATGATTCATGGACCACCAGTAAGTTTCCAGGTACCAGATTACACCCATGAGCCAGCAGCGAAATAGCCCTGTCATAGAGGGTGTTTGCCATGATGTGCTGTAATTTACAGCTAGGCTTGACATATGCATCTTTCAGTTCCACACGTAAACTTGGACTTCTAGTAATTCCCCTGGTCTCTGGGTAGTGAGATCGGATGCCCGTGTGCATTGTTGCACACCTAAAAAAAAATCCCTTGGCAGTTGGAAAAAACTACCCAAAGTATTTCAGAATCCTCGCCGGTGCTACAGAGCCTGTGCACTGTACTTCTTTGGACTCGGACTTGAGTTAGAAGAATGGAGCACTTATGGGTTACTACCCATGTGACATGATGTTGGTCCGTTGTTCAAACCTCAAACCTCGACACTGGCTGGGTGATGTCGTCAACATCACGCCAGCCATTGGTAATTAGTGGTCATTAAAACAGATTACAGATTAATAATGTCTTGTTCCTTCTCCCTCTTCATTCTCCGCTGTTTGCATCGCTGATGGGTCAAAGATTGGTCTGCTGTAAACTCTGTTCAGAGAACAGATGCTGGACGTTTGACATCATGGCATGGAAGATTATCTGTGTCAGAGTTGATTGAAAGCACACGAGACAGAAGGTTGTGGATAGACACAACTACCAACACCACACAGCATGGACTTCAAGAAGAAGAAGAAGAAACTCTGTTCTAAAAAATCTTTAATAAGGCTGCATTCTTTTAGTTGTAGGAGTCGCCGTGGCGGAGCAGCTAGGTTGCTTGCCGTGGATCAGAAGGTTGTGGGTGCGCTTCCTGGCGGAGCCTAACTTTTTTAAAAATGACCTTGGCTCCCAGGTTGACCCAGTCTTGAGTGGGTACCAGGTGCAGTACCGGGAAGTACATGTGGCCGGCGTGATGCTGTCCACATCACCCATCTTGTGCTGATTGGTCTATAAAAAAAAAATAGATCTAGCCCTATATGCCCTATACGCCTAAAGGCGTGGAAAAGGGTCCTTCACTTTTACTTTACTTTTTACTCTTTTAGTTGTATTCCAGGTTTCACAGCCCTATAGGACAAATGGTCTTATAAGGACGAAATTATCTGAACATAACTGTAGAATAAGAAAAGACCTGTGAGGACATAATTCTAGACAAAGACATCACAATGTTTACCTATACATCTGTCTAAAGCGTCTGGTGTGAGTATGAGAACAAAGTGGTTGGACATGTGAATACTGAGCAACAGATTCTCATCAAACTTGCCAGCTCTGAGCCGATCGATGTCCAGAAACACTGAGAAACCTCGCAGCTGCAGGTGAACTTTTAGCAGGCTGCAATAGAACATCAACAACAAAAGATGGATTCAACTTTTTTTAAACCCGTGAAATGCTCAAGAAAATGGGTAATACGTCTGACTGAATTCCCATTTTTTCTTTAAAAACCCTTAAATATTTTAAAGGGGGGAATCAATGAACATGAACAGAATGAAGAATTAAATAGAATACAGTCCTCTGGGCCTTTAACAATTGTATCAGGTGACATTCATGCCATGACCCCATGACCTTTATTACTGGGAAATGGGGGGGGGGGGGGGGAGAGAGATTTGACATCAACAGTACTTTAAAAAAGCCACTTGGATCACAAGGCATTTTTTTTCTCTGTCTTTCCTCTGTCTCTTCTTAGCATTCACCAGATGTAAACTCTGATGGAAAGTTCAGGTTGTTTATCCGCTTCTGGATTTTGGTCTTGTTCCAGAACTTGAGTTTTAGTGCACCTCTGTTTAACAGATCTTGCTTATTTGTATCCAGACTTTTGTCCCTTGCCTCTCAGGAGGATGCACTCTGACCTCGAAGGTAACACCCCTAATCAGTAACCCTGTATGACATGCCTGGGGAGAGGGTGCAGGTCTTTTCTTTCTTCTCCCACAGGAAGATTTAATGCACTGATATTAGTGTCTGTTGACTCTAATGAAGGTCACATAGCAGCAAAGTGAACTCTGTCACATATAACTGTGTTTTTGTAAAGCTGACAATTTCTATGGTTTCCTGTTTGTTGACTGATTTATTATATCTGAACATAATTACTTCAATTCCACCCTGTTTCTGTTTCTATCTATTTAACAAGCAATCTCGCTCTCTCTCTCTCTCTCTCTCTCTCTCTCTCTCTCTCTCTCTCTCTCTCTCTCTCTCTCTCTCTCTCTCTCTCTCTCTCTCTCTCTCTCTCTCTGACTCTCTCTAATTCTCCCTCTCTCTCTTTCTCTCATAGACATACACTTCCCTCACACAGCAGCTTACCTAGCCAGCTGGGATCCGCTGGACCTTCTGTAACAGATGAAGACATCAATAGAGCGTAGGTTGTTGAAGTTGATGCTGTGACTGGGATCCATGGATGGAAGACTGGCCAGATGATGATGATGAGACAGACTCGGGGTATCTGGGGCCACCAGTTCTAGCAAACAAAGTAGTAAAATAATATCACAATTAGTTCCAAGCTTTACATATCACAATTAGTTCCAAGCTCCAAATATTACAATTAGTTCCAAGCTCTACATATCACAATTAGTTCCAGGCTCAACATATCACAATTAGTTCCAGGCTCAACATATCATAATTACTTCCAGGCTCAACATATCACAATTAGTTCCAAGCTCTATATATCACAATAAGTGCCAGGCCTGGGAGAGTCATTGCAGTAATTGATCTTTGTCCGGGATTGTAAAAATTGCGAACATTAATTAACAAGGAGAAAATGACTCACAATAACAAACAACCATAACTTTCAATCAGAGTTTACAGTCGATGAACACGAAGCAGAGGAAGAAGAAGAATTCTTTTTTTTTCCTCCATAGTCTTAGTTAGTCTTTCCTCTTGTGTCGAGTGCGGCACATAGGGCAGAGGTCATGTCTCTCCATGCATGGCGGTTCATTGCAATCTGTTGTAGGTCTTGGATGTTTGAGTGGCATACGAGCGAGCCTTCCCTGATGATAGTTCTACGTAGGGTTTCCCTTGGTTTTCCACAAGATCTTTTCCCCTGTGGTGTCCAAATGAGGGCTTGGTAAGGAAGTCTTGATTTATCCATTCTAAGGGCGTGGCCGACATAGTTCCAGCGGCGTTTTCGTATAAAATTAGACACATACTCTTGCCTGGATTCTTGCCTTATTTGTGTATTGGTTCGGAAATCTGACCATTTGAAATTTAGTATTCTTCTAAGGCATTTATTTTCAAAACTGTCTAATTTTGTGTCTAGAGTTTTCGTTGATTTCCAGCTCTCGCATCCATAGGTTAGTACTGGAATCACACAAGAATTGAAGATCTTGAATTTTGTGTGTTTGCTAAGTGTCTTTGATTTCCAGATGTTGGACAGTTTATTGAAGGCACTAGATGCCAGTGCTATTCTAAATGGTATTTCTGGTGCGGTATCTCCTGTAGATGACATCTTGCTCCCTAGATAAGTGAAACTGTTGACTTTTTCAAGGCTGTTGTTGTTCAGTGTGATATCAACTGAACTGTTGGTAAGGTCTAGAATTTTTGTTTTTGCGGTGTTAATTTGGAGTCCAATTTGTTCTGAGAAATTCTGGAGTCGATTGATTTTTTCTTGGGCGTCTGTGTGTTCTGAACTCAGGAGTGCTATGTCGTCGGCGAAGTCTAGGTCTTCCAGAATTTCCTCCATAATGGGGCCCTAAATTGATCTGATGTTGCAGCCAGATTTTTCAATGGGATGTGGCAGCCAGTGGCATGCCAACTGTCCTTAGTTGCCTTTATGACAGGCATAGTGGGCTTCAGAGTCAATATTCTTTGCTTTACTGAAGGGCCCCAGTAGCATATGGAAGACATATAGAAATGTGGACCACAAGGGATTTTTGCTGTTCCCTACCTCACGGCAGATGTACTCCGACTTCGAGGGAAGACGTCAGGCCTATTTCTAGGATGACTGTGGCCATAGTTTTGTGTGGGTCGAGACGTTGCCTGATTTGTGTGGTGTCCTCTTTGTCCCTTTCTCCACAGGCATTGCCCCCGGAGATCCCCTTTGGGGCAGCCCCTTGTGGAACAGTTGGCCCTCAAAGGAAGGCAGGGGCAGATCATGGGCATTCCCCACCATCCAAGGAGGCTTCAATGTATGCAGAGCCGGCACACGGCGCTCTGGTTTTGGGCTCACCCAAGGAATCGTCACGTCCTGCACATCCCTGCTTAACCTTACAACCGTATTAGGCCTCTCGCTCGACAAGGGCTGCGCCCTCCAGAAGTCAGCAGGGAGCAGCCCGCGGGTTCTGGACTTTTGTGACCACGCGAATAGGTACATTCTTTTTGTTCGCATGTTAGATATCTTTGACGAGCCGTTAGCCCGACAGAATTTAACATCCTGCGTCAGGCATATCATTATCTGTTTGGTCCCAACACTCGGGCGAGTGGGGTCTTTGGGTGTGGACATTTGGACTTTTTCCCGTTCAATACGATTTGTGATGGTCGGATTTTGAGCTTACTCGTGTGCCGTAGGATCTAGTTTTGTCGGACATTCAGGCTTAGCCAGCCAATCGGCTGTTGCTATTGTGGTGTACCTCAGCGCTGTGACGACGACACTGAGGGTTAACAGAGGATGTACATAGGTAGAATCTTGCTGCGAGACGCCACCCACAGGAGATGTTACGACGACACTGAGGGTTAACAGAGGATGTACATAGGTAGAATCTTGCTGCGAGACGCCACCCACAGGAGATGTTACTCGTCTGTGCTGCGGGTAAATCTCTAGGTCAAGGGTTTGGTCTCAGCAGAACAATGTTCTCTTCACTCCACAATCTTTTAACCAAGGGTTGTAATTTTAGTGTACGTTTGGCAAGCACTTTACGCATATTCCTAATGAGTTTTGATAACCTTTTTCACCCATGCGTTTGGGGGCGGGCTGATGAGAGCCACAAGGACACATCACCTCTGAGGGCCGCCAACTCCGAGATCCCCTGACAGCTCTGTTAATGCTGATTTGAGACATTATCTGTGGCGCACGACGAGGACGTGCTGCAGGGGTCTTGCGTGAGGTTCCGTAAAACCAGAACAGTGAAGGACTGGTGCCCGAGTGACGTACGGAGTATCTCCTTATACACATCATGTTGGACTTAACTTTCCCTCACGCCTCTGACATAAATCATCGCGCCACTGACCACATCCTGTTTACAGCTCTAATTTTACTTGTATGGTTTGTACAGTAGAACCTTGATTAACGAGCACCTCTCATAACGAGTAATTTGCATAACGAGCAAAACAAATTGTAAAAGAATGACTTGCTTAACCATCGACGTCTTGCATAATGAGTGGCGAGGAGAGGGGATAGCAGCATCGTAGTGTCGCTTGTGATCTCACATTTTCTCCAATTTGTGTTGTATGTACATAAATCCTCCAGGCCTACAAGATGGCCTCCCTGAAGAATTTTAGTTCATCGAGATCCAGTATCTGCCTCCCAACACCACTCCGTTACTCCAGCCTATTACCAGCAAGTTATTTCTAACTTTAAGAAGCTCTACACTAAAGCACTCTTTGAGCATTGTTTTCAGGTGACTGAAAGGACCAACCTCACTCTGAGAGAGTTTTGAAAAAAAATCACTTCCACATCGTTGCCTGCCTCAAGATGATCGACAAGGCGTGGGAAGGGGTTACCAAGAGAACCCTAATTTCTGTTTGGAAGAAGCTTTGGCCAGAAAGCGTTGTCGAATATGACTTTGAGGGGTTCGAGACTGTACCTGTGGAATCACACAAGTAGTCAGCGAGATTGTGCCTTTGGCCACTATCATGGGATTGGAGGTGGATAACAGTGATATCGAAGAGCTTGTGGAAGAGCACAACCAAGAGCTGACCACCGAAGAGCTTATGGAGTAGCATTGTGTTTCACAGCAAGAGGTTTTGGAAGAAAGTTTGCCAGAGGAGGAGGTAACAGAAAAGCAACAACCTTCTGGTGAAATAAGAGAAATGCTGAAAACATGGGAAATTGTTGCATCTTACATTGAGAAGCATCACCCTAATAAGAAAGTGGCTATGCGCGCTGCAAATCTATTTAATGATAATGCTGTGTTGCATTTTTGCCAAATTTTGAAGCATCAACAAAAAACAAATGTCTCTGGACATCTTTCTAGTAAAAAATAATTAGGTATGTATCATAATTATTTCTATTTTTGTTTGTTTTCTGCAAATCGAATTCACATTCTAGGTGGGTTCGTTCCACGGTGGAAAAAAGATAAAGATGATTCACTCTCCTTAACAACATGTATATAATTTTCTTTGAAGAAACGTTATACATAATATTTTGTGAGTATTTTTTTTTACATGGAACGCATTATCGTTTTTACATTAGTTTATATGAGAAAAATTGTTTCACATAACGAGTGTTTCGCTTTATGAGTATGATTCTGGAACGAATTATGCTCATTAAGCGAGGTTCCACTGTATTTGTCTGGTTGCTTGCCTCTCAGTCGGAAGCACCCTGACCTCAAGGGAAGCATTTCCAATTAGTCGACCTTTACGACCTGCTTGTTGGAAGGGAGGAGGGAAGTGGGTATATTCTTTTTTGGCTCCACAATGTGGTGTGGAAGGGGGGGGGGGGCAGAACCCACAAGGGGAACTAATTACCATCTCTATGCATGAGGATCTGCCGGCGGTGAATGCTGTTATGGATGGCACATTCAGCAGTGAGCTCCTCCTCAGACATAGACTTGAGCTCAAACTTGTCCACCCCCTGACGCAACATCCAGTAGGTGTACTGTGACAGCTCCGGGTTGATGGACATGAGCCAGCCGTCCAGTCCTGTGGGGTCACTGATGGAGTAGTCGGCTGTGATCTTCAGTGATTTCAACTCTCGGACAAATCTAAGATTAAAAAGAAAACGTATGTCAAAAATAAACTCATTGCCAGGAACTGCTAAGCAAGACAAAATGTGACCAGAAAGTTCTTACCTGTTGCCAGGCATTGTAGCAGACTAGTTGTGATGCCGAGATACTAATGACGACAGACAGCTTGAGCATACAGCTAAGTGGAACTATTTTCTACTTCTTCTTCGCATTCACTGGCTGTAAACTCCGGTGGAAAGTTCTGGCTGTTTGTCCAACTCTGGACTTTAGTCTTGTTCCAGAACCTGAGTGTTGCTTGCACATTCGTTTCACAGATCTCACTTGACTGTTTATGTCCCATGTAACACACCATGTGTGCTCAGCTCATGTTTTTGTATATCAATGCAACACACAGTGTGTTATTATTCATTTCATGTTTGGTCTGAGTATGTAAAAGTAATCTGTCCCTATAACTGAAATCAGAATACATGCATCTTTGAAATATATATGTATCTTTGAAAGTCATACATTGATGCTTTTTTTCCCACTGTGATTACTGTGCCTAATTTGGTTTCTACTTTGAAATCATGAGGGGGGAAAAAAAGAGTTAACAGTATACAGATTCCTTGCCTCTCAGGCAGATGCACTCTGACTTTGAAGGAAGCCCTTAATTAGTCGACTATTTTGACATGCTTGTTGGGGAGGCAGCAGGTCTATTCTTGTTTTCCCCACAATGAGGCCTGGGAACTCACACAGGATCAAACTATTTTAAACCTAAGACTAACATTATGACACATTTGAACGAGCAAAGCCAAGACTAAAGTTAATATCAAGATGATCAATTTTACTGCACCAGTTTTATTCCATACAGCTCGATTTCTTTCAGCAGAATGTCTAACCGCATGCTGAGAGTGTCACACAAAGGATGAACTCCAAAACTACAGCAATTATCCCCACAACAACTGCCCGTAAACTAAACCGCGTGCCAATAAAATAAACCCAACTTTAAAGTGCAAGGCAAATGGCTTGACCACTTTGCCATGGAGACCCCAATACCCAGACTTTTGATGCCTGGTGTCAGACATGAGCTTTCAGGCCACGCCTATCTCTGTCAGTGGTGTGTTCAATATATAACAACTGCCAGTTACAATCTTGTCATGACTTGTCAAATGCTATCCTGCTAGTTCATCAAAAATAAACAAAGCAAAACTAGCATTTGCCATGCTTAAGAACATATGGAACTCAAAGGGACCAAGTATAAAGACAGATCTCTAATTTTACAAGAATAACGTTTAGGAATACTTCTGCTTCTTCTTTGTTCACATGGGGTAAGCTCCAGCGGAATGTCCTGGTTGTTCGTCCATCTGGACTTTGGCTTTGTGTCAGTTTTGTGTTTGTTCATCCATTTTCCTGGCTTATTTGTGTGTAGCTAGTTGTTCCTTGCTGCTCGGGCACTTTTACTCCAACTTCGAAGGAAGCTCCAAATTAGTCAACTACTACGACATGCATGTGCATATGTTTGTTAATTTTTCTATGCCCTGTCGTGAGGAGTAGAATGACCAGTCCATGCTGGTCAAGTAAGTGGTTGTCTAATCATCATTATCTATCATGCTGATACATGTAGGCTGCCATGTTTCACCCTCTCACACGATCACCAGAATCACAGATCAGTTCAATGTTTTTGTCTCGCCCCATCCATCTGGCCAGGCCATCCAGGTATTTATCTCTTTGCCTTCCTCGTGCTCTTTTTCTCAATCTTGCCAGTTTTTACCAAGTTCTTGAGTCCATTACTTCTTATAATATGTCCTCAAAAATATTGACTGTCAACATCTCAGGGGGTTTAGCATCACAGGCCCAAGGGGTAGTCAAGAGAGACGTAAAATCGTCGCATCTTGCGTTCATTGGGCTTGTAGGTAGAAATCTATGAACGTATGATGCGTTCCTTGGGACTCAAAGAGTTAATTTGTTTTTCTATCCTTCCATGACATTCTTTGCATTCTTCTCAGAAAACACCTCTCTGCCGCGAATAAATGTTTGTCAGCTTGTCTGCTCATTGTCCATGTTTCACATGCATGCAACAAGACAGGCTCTTCATGGCACCTGAACACTCTTTTTCTCACTGCCACTGACATCTTCTTGTTGGTGAGTCTTTTGCATCTTGCTAGTGAAATCATGACCATTCCTGGCATCCTGAAGAAGGTAGTTTGCCACTGCTTTCCTTTTCGGCAGTGACCATGTTGGTCAGGTGACCGCAGCCACTGTCAGTATAGGGTCATTCTCTGCCGACCATCAGGGAACTTGGGACCATGGTCCATGATGATCAACTATCTGACAGCTGCTCTCACACACAATCCACCATCTGCTCCCATGGTTTCACGCTACCCTGATTGGGATGGGGGGGGGGGGGCTAAACAGGTACTGCCGCACTTCTTCTTTGATAGAGGATATTTATTACAATAGGTTGTCTAAAAGCTGAAGTGATAACAGCCAGGAGTTAAAGTTTATGGTAACAACAATCTTTAAGAGAAGTAGCTTACCGTTTTCTGACAATACTGGAGGTCATACCAAGAGCTGAATGCAGGTCATCATCTGTCAGTATCAGAAGGATGTCCCCATCAACATGAGACTCACCAAATTTGGCAGCAAAGTCTTCAAATCCAATCTGGCAATATCATACAAATGTGGTCTGATAGGTATTAACTAATTTAACCTGAAACATCTACACAAATCTAACTGACACATTAAAGTACAAGACTATCAGTACTTAGATTATGTGAATGAATGCATCAAGAACTGACATCACTAAACTCGGGACATTCCCAGACACGCTCTGCCCATGCTTCAGTAGCCAAGAAATAATTCACACATAATAGTGCCAGTAAAAGTTAAGGTCCCTTTTCCGGGCCTTTTAGGTGTATTGGGAATGTAGGGCTAGACCTATATTTCTATAGCCCAGTCAGCACTTGGTGGGTGATGTGGTCAGCATCACACCATAATAGTGCCAGTAGCAACCTAAATAAATTCCCTGTCTCCTATCCTGCACAGTGAGTATCTTACACACCCTCTGCTATCTCCCCAAATCTTCTACTTTTCTTCCTGCTCAACGAGTGACACCTGACAATGAATTAGGTATAGATACTAACTCTGTGGCTTCAGCACTGTGAAATAGCTTGGCAATTCAGAGGTATCCGATTCGATTCTAGCTGCATGTGATCTGGCAGCAGACCACATTGCAGTCAACTCCACAGCAGTATCGAAAGCCGATGGTTAATAAGGCAATGGCCCACTAGTGAACGTAAAATTACCTAAAAATCATAGACAGCCAAACTTTGGGTGCTGGTTCTGCAATATTATGTAAAGGATAAGCAGCTATATTTGACAGGTACTCTGTTTTGCTATAATATCCATTTGATTGCAGAAATTCTTCACCATGTCTTACAAGAAAGCTGTATGTGAGATTAAACCAGTTAACCATGTTCAACAGTCAGGAAACATCTTGCATTATTCATGTATTTCTAGTCCCTTCAACCATCAACAAAGAATAAATCCATCCTCTACTGGCTCCTTTCAAAAACTACTGGCTTCAAGGATGTCTTGTGCTAACCAAGAAATTTCCAATGGACCAAGAGGTGAAGAAAAGATGCTGGTGTTGGATAGGACACATGTTGAGAAAACCTGAGTACAATTTAACTAGAATTTCTATGCACTGGAGCACACAGGAGAGAAATGGGAGTAAAGATCAGCACAGCCATGTATGAGAAGCAAACCCGACGCACACAAAGTCTTGTTAACCAACATAGGACTGGCACTATTAACTGCACGAAGCTGATGAATATGTTGAGAGGGGAATCTGAGCGCCTATGGATGTGTCCGGAGTGATGTGAAGATAAATCTAACTTGTAACACAAAGAAGCAAAGAAATAAAGGAAGACCATAAAACACATGCTGAAGGGAGCTAGAGACTGAAGTAAAAAAGATGGGGAGGACATGGGGAGAGCTGCATTCGATGGCGAAGGACAGAATGACTTGGCGTGAGTTGGTTGAGGGCCTATGCTCCACTGGGGGTTAGAGAGGCAGAAAAAGAATAAAGAGGAAGTTGACCTACTTGTGTGACCCAATAGACAACGTCATCTACTGTCCACAGAGGGACTTGCTGGGACAACTTGTGTGGGATCTTTTCCCCGATGATCTTCAAGGCTTCAGCTGCCAGTTTTGAGGCCACTGTGTTGGGGCTGCTGGCGATCTTCTTCAGTGGCTCTACAGCATCAATCTCATGGAAAATCTACAATACAGAAGACACGGATTCATGACCTACAACACAATTGGAAATTTACATTTTAGAAGTGCAGTGGTTTTTGGACTTCCCTCAATAATGCTGGATAAACTATACACAAAACAGGAGTTGTGGATTAATTATCTTCATCACATAAAAAGTCATAGATTAATGATCTATGATAAAGGTAAGTAAAGGACTTTGTTTCACACCTTCAGGTGTACTGAGCATATAGTGCTTGACCTATTTTTAATAGACCAATTAGCACTGGGTGGGTAATGTGGTCAACCTCATGCCGGCCACCTTTACTTCCCAGGACTTTAAGTGGTACTCATTTAATGCTGGGTCGACCTAGAAGCCAAGGTCAATTTTTGAAAAAAGTCCCACTCCATTCGGATTTGAACCCACTTCAAATCTGCATGCGAGAGTCTAACTGCTTTACCACGTCAGCTACACTACATCTCAAGAGTCATGGATCTAAAATACCAGAGTAAAAAATTAGAATACAAGTCATGAATTAATGATCTTCAACAAAGGAGTCAAAGAATAACAGATGAACGAAAATCTGACTCTACAAGAGCATAATTTTTCCTGTTTTTCTTTATGGAGCAGAATGCTGGAGAATGACCAAAAAAGATGCGCACAAGCTATCCACCTTCCACAACATATGTATAGGTAGAATTATCAAAATTTTCTGGCCAGATCTCATACACTAAACTACTTCAAGTCACAAACCAATGTATGATAACCAAGAGAAGATGGAAATGGCATGGCCACGTTATGAGAATAAAGTAAAGTAAAGATCCCTCAACACGCTTTTAGGCGCATCGAGTCAATGGGAAGAGCATCCCATATTGTTAAAGACCAATCGGCACTGGGTGGGTAATGTGGTCAGCATTAAACCAGTCGTCTTTACTTTCCCCGGGACATCCATCCTGGTACCCATTTCAGGCTGGGTCGCCCTGCGACACCCATATCACGATAAAAATCCACGCAGCCAGCAGTGGGTTTCAATCATGGAACGTTGGAATTACGAGACAGATTCCCAATGTCGAAGCCACAGACACCACATGTTATGGGAATGAACCTTGATATATCTGTCAAAACAGCTCTCACATGGATACCAGAGGAAAAGAGAATGAAGGGGTGTCCAAAAACAACACGGAGACGAACGATGGAAAGGGACGTGAGTGCGGCACCTCTGACATGGAAAACTGCACTGAAGATTGCACAAGACAGGAAAGCATGGAAAGTCATCTATGAAGCCTTATGTGCCACTAGGCATAAAGAGAACTGATGATGATGATGATGAACCCTAATAAATAAGAGCAGTTGCTGATTGTCTGACCTGACTACAGGTCAGACAATCAGCAACTGCTTTTATACAACAGAAACACTAGGTGTATACATTATCTGACATCACGACTCACCTCTTGTCTCCCTTGCTCTGCTTTAATGATGGCCTCCATCGCAAAATGGAAGGCAGCCAGTGCCTGGGCCTCCTGCCGTCGTGAGAACAGGAGAGGGATCAAATGTTTGAGCCAAATTTTGTCGCGGCCTTGTTTGTGGGTCACGTCACTTTGAGCAAACTGGGATGGCTTGTTAGAGTTGATAAATGGAAGAACCTGTGGGAGAAGACACACCAAAGCTAAGTCACAGTTAATTTAGTAGTACAGCTAGCACTCAGTCATACAGTCGGTACATAGTCACACATTTAGTACGCAGTCATACAGTCATGCATACATAGGCACACCATCAAAATATCAGTATACAATCACTATGCAGTCATTTAATAAGTACACAGTCATACTGTCAGTACACAGTCCGTACACAATCATACAATTAAGTACAGTCATATAGTCACTACACAGTCAGTATATAGTCCAACATTCAGCACCCAGTCAATACAGTCAGTACACAATCATCCATAAGTATGCAGTCATACAATCAGTACTCAGTCATAGTCATTTTACAGCCATACAGTCCATACACAGTCATACAATCAGTACACATGCATACAACATACAGTCAGTAGGTAGTCATACAGTCAATACGTAGTCATACGGTCAGTACACAGCCATAAGGTCAGTACACAGTCAAACAGTCAGTACGTAGTCAGTACGCATCACACAGTCGTGCAGTCAGTATGCAGTCACGCAGTCAGTACACACGCAGTCTAGCAATCAGTATGCAGTCACGCAGTTGGTATACAGACATACAATCAGCACACAGACATACACTCAGTACACAGTCATACAGTCAGTAAACAGTCATACAGTCAGTACACAGTCATACAGTCAGTACACAGTCATACAGTAAGTAAACAGTCACACGTTCAGCACAGTCATACAGTCAGTACACAATCATCCATAAGTAGGCAGTCATACAATCAGTACGCAGTCATACAATCAGTACACAGTCATACAGTCCGTATACAGTTATACAATCAGTATGCAGTCATACATCATACAGTCAGTACACAGCCATAAGAACAGTACACAGCCATAAGGTCAGTACGCAGTCACACGGGCTGTACGCAGTCACAGTCAGTACGCATTCAGTCAGTACATAGTCACGCAGTCAGTGCACAATCACGCAGTCATTACGCAGTCACACAGTCAGTACACAGACATACAATCAGCACACAGACATACAGTCAGTACATAGTCATACAGTCAGCAGCCTAACGGTGTTGACAGGGCAAAATTTGGAGTAAAAATCTACCTAAAGTATTTCAGGATCCTCGCCGGTGCTACAGAGCCTGTGCACTGTGCTGAGCTTCTTCGGACTAAGACTCAAGTTAGAAGAAGAACGGAGCACCTATGGGTTACTACTTGTGTGCCATGATGTTGATCCGTTGTTCAAAACCTCAAACCTCAAACAGTCAGTATAGTCATACAGTCAGTACACAGTCATAGTACACAGTCACACAGTCAGTACACAGTCATACAGTCAGTACACAGTCATACAGTCATCAATTACAGGATGCAGGGGAGCTAAACAACACATGGTGGTTCAGCAAGACCAGGGTTCATACTGGTCCAGACCTGTCCACACCTTTCCGAGGTCATCCCAGAAACAGGTCCCCAGCCCGCAAGCCTGGCCAACATAGAAAGGATCAACATTTCCTTTAAAGTCCCACCGCTACGCTAAAAAAGAATGACACCTTACTTAAATGTGTTCCATGTGACATTATGTAAGTTATGTCCTTTAAGGCACGAATTTTCAAACCGCCCTCAGACAATCAGTACGCAGTCACTCTATCAGTACACTAACTGTCTCACTAATGACTTACCAAATCTAGTGTACCAGATTTTATGACTGAAGCTTCCAATTCTTTGTTAGCCACCAAAGCAGAAATTGCCAAGCAGGCATAGTATCGTATACTGTTGTCATCACTGAAAGCCAAAGGAAACAACCATTCGGGTACCTGTTCCAAATAAAAAAATGAGCAGTTTTCATTGATCTTGACTGACCATTACCGGAAGCCTCTCCTATTCATTCTAAATCACAAACTATAAATACCTGCAGATTCTCAACCACAACTGACATTAACATTTTCTGAAGTATCTCCCAGTTATTCTCAATCATAATTTACAAACACCCATAAGAACCACAAAAGAGCATATCCTGAGAAGCAGGCACAGAATCACCTAAAAGGCACTAAAATGGGAAACAAATGGATTGAAGAAATTAGGACATCCAAGAGTAACCTTCAGACAAACTTTGTGAACAGCCAAGAAAGCTGGACCAGATTCAATCCGCAATACTAACGGATTGCACAAGACAGAAAAGAATGGGGGAACAGACTGTGAATCCTAAGTGACATACAGGCAGCCGCCATATGTAGCGGGTAGACACTCGCCTGCGGATCGGAAGGTCGTGGGTTCAGGACCTGACGGAGCCAGACTTTTCAAAAATGACCTTGGGGGGCAGGCATGAGGCAGACTGCATCAGCCACCAAGTGCCGACTAGTCTAAAAAATAGGTCTAGGTGTATATGCCCAAATACGCCTGTAAATAAGGTCCTTTTAAGTGACATACAATGATGGTTGTCATCATGATGATGATGATGATGGAAGAACCACAAAAGCTTGAAGAAACACCCAGTATAAGAATCAGAAACATCTTGCCTGGGCTTGGTATACGAAGTGGAAATATCTTGTGTATGGACTCCAGCATATAAATCAGAGGTATTCTGGTTTGGATCCAGTCAAGATAAGAGCATACCTTATGTTTGGACATAATCTCCTGGTTCTCAGCTCCCCCAAAGAGGGAGAGGTTAGCCAAAGCTTTAGCACAGCGACGTAAGATGGAATAATTGGTCCCACATCGACACCATCGCAGGATGACATCCAGCCCACCCAGATTGATTACTTTCGTACAGGTCTCTTCTGAGAGCTTGAACATGTTCTCCAGAATACCTGAGATGATAATGCAACACAAGTCATCAAAAGTGAAGTTCACTAAATATTAGGTCAAAAAAAGGAAAGCTCACAGGATATCAGGTCACAAAAAGGTTTCACAGACATCTCCTCATGACAATATCCCCAGAGAGACAGTCACACTAATTCAAGATTTTACAGACATCACCACATGACAATATCCCCAGTCAGTCACACAAAATCATGATTTCACAGACATCTCCTCATGACAATATCCCCAGACAGTCACACAAATTCAAGATTTCACAGATATCTCCTCATGGAAATATCTCCAGACAGTCACACAAATTCAAGATTTCACAGACATCTCCTTCTGACAATATCCCTAGACAGTCACACAAATTCAAGATTTCACAGACATCTCCTTATGACAATATCCCTAGACAGTCACACAAATTCAAGATTTCACAGACATCTCCTTATGACAATATCCTTAGACGGTCACACAAATTCAAGATTTCACAGACATCTCCTTATGACAATATCCCTAGACAGTCACACAAATTCAAGATTTCACAGACATCTCCTTATGACAATATCCCCAGACAGTCACACAAATTCATGATTTCACAGACATCTCCTCCTGATAATATCTCCAGACAGACACAAATTCAAGATTTCACAGACATCTCCAAGTGGCAACATCCCAAGGCAGGCAGTCACACAAATTCATGATTTCACAGACATCTCCTCATGACAATATCCCCAAACAGTCACACAAATTCATGATTTCACAGACATCTCCTCATGACAATATCCCCAGACAGTCACACAAATTCAAGATGTCACAGACATCTCCTCATGACAATATCCCCAGACAGTCACACAAATTCATGATTTCACAGACATCTCCTCATGACAATATCCCCAGACAGTCACACAAATTCATGATTTCACATACATTTCCAAGTGGCAACATCCCAAGACAGGCAGTCATATAAATCCATGATTTCACAGACACCTCCTTGTAGCAATATTCGCAGACAGACAGTCATACAATTAAAGATTTCACATCCCCTAACCTTCACGAGAAGACAATGCCCACCTGTAGTTGCTTCAGCCATTTCATAATCTTCAGCGTACTCTCGGGTCATTTTCACTACTGCCTCCAATCCATCCTTGGCAACTCGCTCACGGTTCCTAGTTGACATGACCTGCAGATAAGTAACAAGTCAAATGGTAGCAGAGGAGAGACAACAATTTTAACAGTGACTGTTGGGATTCTGGGATTCCAGGGAACGTTCCATGTCCTCGCTCCCTCAGTCAGCAATCACAGTTCATATCAGTCACTCCACTCAATCAACCTGCCTCTCATACCGTCAAACACCAACTCACTCGATCTTCTTTCTCACCTTTAACCCTTTGTTCTCATCCTATGGATTTTTCTTGCAATCGTTCACTCAAACACAGGAAATCCCAAGTGTACCTTTTTCATGCTTCCCCCACTTAATTGGCCTTTGATCCTAACTCTTCATATTGGAGAACCCTCTGGGATTCATGGGAATTCCCCCTCATTACAATGCACATAACTGAAGTCAACCTCTATGACATTCCCCCCCCCCCCCCCCCCAACAACCATCAACCACTACACCCAATTCCCCAACCGAGCAACAGGCCGTTTCTGTAATAAACTGAGTTAACAAACTAGGCACATGGTTTGAGTAGAAAGAAAACCTGGCTTGGAAAGGACCTGGTCATCTGCTAAGAACCTGTCAACACTCTTGATAAATACTACGATCCAGGCACATAATAAACACAAGTAGAATCATGAACATTAACTGACAGAATTTTAAACATAATACTATGATCATGAAAACAAACTGTTAGAAATGAACACAAACAGGTACCATTAAACAATTAAAATTATGAACACAAACAGGTACCATTAAACAATCACAATTATGAACACAAACACACAGAATTATTAGCATAAATAGGTAAAACAAAAACTGGTAAAATTAACAAATATAGGTAGAATTATTGTAATACATGAGTCTGGTTAAATGTCCATCTTGCCTTTCCCCTGAGTGTAGGGAGCCGGCCAGACCCTCTGGTTATACACAGGTGCCTCATTCTCTCCAGGCCATAATAATCCTGTTTCTCTGCTGATTCCGTTGCTTGTTCCCAAAGGGCCATGACCACATTTGCAGAACACTTTTTATCCCATATATAACCCTGAAGGTTTAACAGGATATTTTTGTGAAAATTACTACAAGGGAAAGGGTTCTTTACCTTTTTCCCCACATATGATAGGATGTGTACGAGTGTGGACATATTCACAAGCTGTAAGTGTCTAACAGTGCCGATCAGTCATGGCTCTCAGTCATAATACACAAAAATCCCTGTGTGGGTTCAGGGATTCCACAGTGAGGAAAACAAGAATAGATCCACTGCCTCCCCAATAAGCATGTCATAAGAGTCAACTAACTGGGGGCTTTCTTCAAAGTCAGAGTGCACCTGCCTGAGAGGCAAGAAACCAACAGTCTGCACACAGATAAGCAAGATATGTAAAATGGATCCACACCCAAAACTCAAGTCCTGGAACAAAGCTAAAGTCTAGAAATGGACCCAAAAAAAACCAGGTCTTTCCGCCAGGGTTTACAGCGGGTGAGCGCAAACAAACAAATATACACATATTACCTCTCATCTGCACAATGTGCTGCTCCAGCTTCTGTGACAGAGTCTGGTAGCTTAACTTGAGGTTGTGTCTGTACTTGCTGAGAGAATAGCCATGGGGAAATCGCAGTGGGTATTTGGTGTAGAAACTAGTGGTCCCATCGCTACTGTCTAGCTCATCAGGTGGCAAGCCTGGCCAGCTTCCTCCCAAACTGTCATCCAAATCGAAATTCCCATTTTGGCCAGCTGGCATGTTCTCCAGGTCTCCTGGGGAGGTTTCAAACATGATGTCCTTGTCAATGCATGGATCAGCCCCTTGGTTGTTTTGGTCAATCTCAATAAGTTCCACCCCTTGATGTATGGTCTCTAGGCCTTTCACCAGCCCAGATGGCCTATTTGAAACAGACATCAGCCTTTTCTTATGTTTGTGAGTTGACACTGGTGTCACTACATCATCATCATCCGTTTCTGAAGTGTCCACATTGGACAAATCAAAGTAAACTTTGGTTGTTTCTGAGACATTCGGCTTGGATGTCCGTAAATGATGAGCCATCCTCATCTTATCTACTGAGCCTGTGCGCTCTGGAAGCTGTTTATGCACATCTGAGTTAATGAGCAGGGCATCTGACTGAGATCTTTCTATCAGTTTGGAAGCATCAAAGCAAGGATTTTTCTTGAGCACAGTACGAGGAGACAGGATGACATTTTCACTTGGTGACCTGCAGCGGTTCTCTCCAGAATTCTCCGGCATAATTAGTGGGCCCAGGGTCTTCACGTCGTCATCCTCCATGTTGAGATCTGAAATGACAGAAAACAATTTATTTTTGCAATGTCTAAAGAGTGGGCACTCGCACTGCAAGCTTTGGAAAATAGAAACTGGTGTCTTTGGCTCACAGTGGCTTACATCTCTTGAAAGGATTCAGATTTGAAGCACATATGAATTTATTTTGGCCCAGAATTTTCAGGTGTGCATAGTAATGAGTAGGCTGACAGATTGGCTGCTGCCTGCCAGACCTCTGAGCAGCGAGGTACTTTATGATAAAGCAGACATGGTGAAGTATCCCTGGGATCAAGTAGACAGTGTAAAAGAAGAGACAGAGTGAATTTAAAACACTCGAGATATCCCACCTGGAATCAAAATAAGGCAGGTTTCATGTCGAGGAGTGGAAAAACTGTCGACCAGAGTCTGGTCTGTCCATCATCGGGTGCAGCCTAGTTTCTGTGATCGTGTCCAGGATTTTTTATCACAGACGTTCTTACCTGTTTCTCTCATTTGGCTTAAATAATCTTTTCCTGGGTTCGTCCTTAATCTGTAAACACGTTGTGTTGTGGTGTACGGATATGCTGCGATATCTGGCATTTCGACTCAACATATCCGATGCCATAAACTCCTAATTAGTCGCAGCTACAACAGGCTTATTTAGTTGGCAGTGGGTCTATCCCCCCCCCCCGACCTCCACAAATGGGTGTGTGGAACCAACACGGGGAGCCCAAATAAAGAAACTATACTAAAAACTTTTCCAATTGATATAAAATATATGCAAATTAAATGTTTATGAAATAACCGAAAATGGCTGATAAGCATAAATATCCAATATTAAAATAGAAACACGCTCTATGTATCCCAGTTATAGCTAAGAGGGGTTACTTTTGTTACTACTACCCGAGGCTTTTTTTTTTCGTAGAAAAAAAAGGTGCCGGTACTCGTCATAAATGATTTTAAAAGGTGCCGCTACTAACTACAAGGTGCCTGTTACATTCAAGGAAAAAAGGTTACATAATGAGAAAAAAACCTTGCTAATCCGTAACAATAAAACTGAGATCGACAAGGGGCCGGTAAGGATAAAATTACTAATGGTTTTTAATTAACACAAAACTGCTACTGATTTAGGTAAGGATAAAACAATATCAGGTCTGGCGAGAATCCAGTGGTACAAACGTTTATTCACTCAAAATAAACACCAGCTAGGTATTATAACCTAAGAAGACATTGTTATTTTCTTATTTTGTGTGTAGTGAGTGTTTATATACCTGAAATTTTAATTAAATTATTTATTTGTGATACCTTATTATGTTAATTCACCACTGCTTTTTCAATGTAGTATGCACCCTAGAGACGGCGTTTGTGGCTTAGAAATTGCTAACAACGTGCTTTGTAATGCCGGGGTGCCGGGTTCGATCTCAGCTGCGGACGATTTGTCTTGCATTGGTTTCGACAGTGATACCGAGAGTTAATCGTTCAGAGCAATTGCAAACTAATGAAGGTAAATTGTTCTCAGAAAAATCGCAACAGCCAAAACATGCTAGGGTTGGTTCTGCAGCTCCTATACTAAAAGACACGCATCTAACTGTATGCACTATATGTATATCTTATTCGTATAATTAGCATGTTTGTTTGGAAAAGGCACTGAAAATTGAATTGAAGAATAATTAACGTTTACCTTTAATTAATATATATGTTAATTATAAGTGAAGCTGACACAAGTCCGCCACTAACTGGTTTTAAATTCTAAAGACTTATAATACTATTGAATTTCCAAACGAAGGTATATTCCATCGTCATCAGTATATCACAACCAACTATCGACAAAACATCTGCTCCTAACTTTAATCCCCACAACGCGCTGACTTTGCTGGCAATAGTGATTGTAATATTTCATAATGAACGAAGAAGGGTCTAGCGATGTTTTATATACACATATTAGCAAAATCAAGAATACTATTGATTTTTCGCGGGAAAAGAAGCAGACATGAAATTTGCAATCACAATCGACTAAGCAGCTGAAATACAAGCTAGCAGTCAAAGTATTATTTAGTCTTGCAGGCTGGTTTTTCGATAGCAGACTATGTTGCTGAGGACAGAACAAAATCCAAGGAAGTTCACTCTCCGTCTTCTTCTTCTCTTCCACCTTGTACCTAGGCGAAGTGTCAGGTGGAGATGTAACATTCGTTGCTGAGCTCTGTCAAGAGCAGTATTAAGACTGATGTTCATTTCTGTAAGGCTGTTCTTAATGTCATAACTCCATATTAGACCCCATTGCATCCCAAACAAGATGTCGTAGACTAATTGGGGGCTTCCTTCGAAATCCGAGTACATCTGCCCGAGTAACAAGGAACAACCAACTGCACACAAATAAACCAGTAAAAGGTATGTACATTCAAAACTCAGGCTCTGGCACAAAGCCGAAGTCCAAATGGGCGAAGAACCAGGACTTTTCACTGGAGCTTACAGCCGGTGAACAAAGAAAAACCGGAAGCCTTGCTGACTGTCAAAGATTGTATCACTTTGTCTTCCTTTGTCTCTCTTCCAAAAAATCTTTCAAATTTCCCTCTTCTCATAACACGCATAGTCGGCTCTGGGGCTAAGTCGATGCGAACGCTTCGTAATGCCGGGATGCCGGGTTCGATCCCAGCTGCGGGCCACACGCCTTGCGTTGGTTTCGACAGTGGTATCAAGAAAGCCGGCCGTTCAGGAAGC